ATTATCAATCTTACTTTCATAGGGAGGGTAGGGGGTTTGATTATCAGATGTCTAACATCTTGAACAGTAACAATAATACAGATAACCAGTCATACAGACAGAAAGGGTTAAATTAAGTACTCTATAATTTTTTCTGTCTCTTCAATTTTCAAGATGCAGTGGGTCAGATCTAGTACACCTAAAAACCACTGCTGACATATGATTGATCTGTGGAGTAAAATCAACCTAAGCTTACATAAGAAACAATGAGAAGTGCAGTATTAAATAACAAATACTGGAAAGGTATTAAGCCCATGCACACAAATATCTAGGAAAGTGATTTCATTATGTGCACTTCTTTCCTGGTGAGATATTCTGTATCTATACAATTTGACAGGCTGTGCCAGTGTCCTGCTATTTTTTTTGCTGTAATTTACAGAGAAACATTTAAAGCAGGCCTTATCCTTGTTCTATACCTTTTGGAGAACACAGTTTAAAGTCTTATAACTTTCCTGCTGTTATAACGCACCAACTTCTTGGAATAAGGCACAACTAGGTCAACTTGTAAATTTCATGACATACAAACTTATTTACAATCACCACAAAATCTTGAATACTCTCAATTTATCTGTACAAAGCTAAAAAGTTTTGCTCTTCACTCTTTATATTTAGAGAAAACAAAGAGTTGAATGTGAGCACAAGTATCTCTTATGCAAAGTATATATCAAATTATGGATTCAAAGCCTCAGCTAAGTTTACAGAATCAGAGTTGGCTTTAGTGACGGGATTTTTTTTTTTTTTTTTTGCAAAATCATTACATATCTTTTTAAACAAAGAAGTAAATTTCAAGAAATAATATAAACAACAGAGACAATGAACCAATAATACTTTTTGTTTCTTAGTCCTATACATTTTCTTATAATTGCCTTCTTATATAGCCATTCCTCAGTATCTTACAACAGTAATCTTGGACCGATTTCCACCTTTCTAAGTAGTCAAAAAGTAACTGAGCATGATAAGCGATAACAAAACTTTTAATTCAAAAGTGAGATACTTTATTATTTCAAAGTAATTCTTTAGTCAACCTAAACAACCAATATAAATAATTCACACATCACTTTAGGATAAACATATAAAAATATAAAAATATATTTGCCATGTCATGGAGAGTTACCACTCAAGGATGATGGTATATATGAGGTGAAAATTTAACAAACTTTTAGGCCTGACAGACACTTTTGTCAGTAAACTGGAAATTATTAATCACTCGAAAGGAGCTGGGAACACCACTGTTTTGTGGGTGATTTATACACACTTATATGAAATGGAAATGGATGTTAATAAAAGGTAAGTAGAAACATTTTAGTATACCTTATAAATAGAAAAAAAATAAAACACATCATTATTTAATCATAGTGTCAAAGGCTGCATTATTTTACTTCTTTTTCTTTTCGTAATATTCCTACTACCTAATTCAAATACCTAAAAATTCAAATCAAATCTCAAATGGCAAAAAATACCAAGTAACAACCTAAATTTCTAAAAAACTCCTTTTGCAAATCAACTGTCATACAGGTTAATATCATAAAATTTCAGAATTAATGTAGGAAAAAGAAATTAATTCTAAAAGTAAAGAATCCTCTTAAAGATACTTACATCAAACTGCATCTGACCATTTGCAAACAAACAAACAAAAAAAAACTTCAAAATCCAAGAAATTTGTCTGTTAAAAATCCAAAATTGCATCCATGCATAAAAATTATGGCAAGTGATAATGGTACTGTACTTTAAGAAAAATGCCATTTCTTTCAAGCATCTTAGCCCTAAGATGGAGTAAAAATGTACTTATAAATAAACAATCCTATCATATTGTTCCCAATTATTAAAAAAGTAATACCATATATCACATGCCAATGGTTAACATAACAAAATTTTACAAGGCAACATGCAAAATAACAACCAAACACCAAAACCTACATCCTTCGTTTAAATTCTGACTATTATTATAATCCAGCATGCCCACCATCTTCTACATGCACAAGTCACCTCTTCCTATTCATCACTAAAGCATTCAAGATTAATGAACTCTGCAACTGAAATCATTTAAACACTTCTATGCAGTACAATTATTGGATGCATAGCATGCAAACTAATTAACTACCAATAGTTTTTAAAGCTTACTTATGCATTCCAGTATCCATAATATTCTCTAAATGCTAACAAACAAACATACAAAGCATAAAAAATAAGCAAACAAGAAGTTTATGGAAACCTGGAATGCACATTTATCTTCCAATTCCTTATTGTTTTATCACTGAAAGAATACTAACCAGAACCTCCTTCACTAACCTTTGGGTCTGTTATAGTGTCCCGGCCCACCATAGCCATGACGGGTAGGGCCACTACGATTGACTGGTGTGACAGAATTTCCTGGATTAGAAGAGCTTAGAGGTCTGGGATTCCAGGGTAAGGTGGCGGTGGATCATCACTGTATGCCCGACTAGACCTCTTGGCTCCTCCCTTTGGTCGTTCGGGCACTGCTGCAGCTGCCCCCCACTATGGCGAGATGGTCCAGGCTGGTTGTGGTGATGAAGGTGGTGATGATGGTGACTGGGCCCGGGGCACCTGGCGTTTGGGCTCGGGCCTTGGCGATGTCGCTGGGCAAAGAAAACGAGGGAAGTTTCAAAGAACAGTCTGAGGTGACTTTCACACCTGACTAAACCTTACTTTGACCAATTTCATATTAAGAATTTTCCAAATGATGATGATCAAGTGATAGTAGCCTTAGCTGATCCTTGATCCTCTTACTTTGACTCTTCTGAGAGTGCTGACAGTCTACGTAGGGTTTCTGTGATGGATCGTGCTGGAGGTTTGCGAGGGTTGCTGATGGGGTGTGCACGGCGCAGCACTTGATAAAATGCCCATGAAGACCACAAAGCCAACACCAACATCATCACACCATACCAGTATTGCTGTGTAATAAAAATACATGATGATCCATTTTTTCATATGGGAACAGCAGTTTCCTATTTGTTCTAAATCATATGAAGAAGTGTTAACCTTTATCAGAAATCTTTTGGGAAATTATTCCCTCTTAAAGAGAAAAATACTGCAGTATAGATCACTGTCATTCCAAAAACATTTTTTTCAAAGGAAATACAATGGAATGATCAAAAGTAACTACAGCCAAGAAGAGGTAATGCTCTTACTGTGATCCACTCAGCAACACTGTTAAGCGTGTCCTGATTGAAGAGCAGGTTCTTGAGTCTTGCAAGCGGTCTCAGCCAGCACGCACGACATTTTTGGAAGACATCGCAATAACCCTAGAAGCAAAACATTTGACACTGGAGTGAGACATCTTTTTCATTGCTGAATTGATCCTATTGCATAATTTTTGTTTATCTTCATAAATATCTAAGTATAAAACACTCCTAGAATCATAAAATCACAATACTGACAGCAAAGATCTTCTCACCTGGAAGTTATTACATGGAGCTCCAGGTCTCATAAATACAGGTTCACCAAAGATATGCTTTAGTTCTGAAGTAGATTTACAAGTGAAGTGTCATTGCCTTCTTGACAGGCAATTTCACACAGCTTCTTTTGTCTTTCACACGGTCTGATGTGAGGAAGCACTCCATCAACTTTGTTGCAAGACATATGGATCCACTACATTTTCCTTTTATGCAGACCTGGAGGAAAAATGAAAAAAAAATAAGTGAACTATACTTCATAACAATTCTTTTCATACATAAAATTATAAGCTGGTCTTGGGATGCTCTCCAGTAAAAATTGATAAAGCCAATCCAATTCTTATTTTACTATACTCTTTATCTCTCTTATAACTAAAACAGACTTCAAAAATCTATAATAAATAAAAAAAATAATAAATAAATGTGGTTCTCAATACAATTAATACCAAATTTCAACAATCATTTTACAAGGATGAAGTCATTTTGTTCTACTTTGTGCCTTCATTGCATTGCTTGATCTCCTTCTTCCTGGGGATGGGCACTGTGCCATGCGACATTGCAATACACTGACTCCTCACAGTCTGTTTCAGAATGGCACTGAACTCGGGCATTATGTGTCCACATACGCACAGCGATCTCTGCTACAGCAAGGGCCTTCACTTGACTGGAAGGAAAATAAAATTAGTTTAACATTAACTAAGGAATGAACTGAAGATCAAGATTTATATTAATGTTTGATAAAAGATGAACAATGCTGATAATATACTATTTCATTTTCATAACTTAAATATCACAAGCTTCTTTTCTGACATGACACTATCATTGCAGTTAAATGTTGAATTCCTTTACTTTAAAATGCTAGGACACTCAACTGTCAACAGGATTTTTCTTTCTGAGGCAACTAGGGACCAAGACCATTCCTAATCCTGATCCACAGCAGGGTTCATGACACTTTGCTTTGAGACTTTACTTGTCCTACGCTATGCATGTTACAAATGGACCACAGTGACCCTATAGAACAATTTCTCACATTCAAGTATAAACTACAGAAAACTAAAGTGAATGAAATCCCATATGGTAATTCTATCTTGTTTCACCAACTTATTGTCTAATCATCATATTCAACTACAAGTAGAGAATTTTGGTAATAACTGGTTTTAATACTCATGTAATAAAACAAATCATATAGAAAAAAGTATCAGTGAAGCTATGATGGTTTGTGCTCTTTATATTTATATAAATCATCTAAAAACAGTAACCAAAGTTTCTTATTAGTGTAAGCATCAATTTCAATGTAAAATAAGATATCTATAATCTTTGTTAACACCTACATGTGTATAGCTGAAACATAATAAACAAATCTACAGATTGCACTATACCTGCACTGTGTGTTCTTTCTGCGTCTACACTCTCTTGCAGATGAATTCTGCATCTTATCATTCTGAGAAATCTTGAGTGGATAACAACACTTTTCTCACATTCCTCATCATCATAACCACAGTCCATTCTTCCCTCTTCAACGATCTTATTTCCGCAGAAGGCAACCATTGTTGGTTGAGAAACAATTTGTTCTTCTCTTTTCCGATATGGCATCAAGAACCAGTGATATATTTACGAAGGAGCACTGAGAAAACTTTCATTATTTGGCCGATCTCCACGGTAGCAGAGGAGAACATAATGTAGTTCCCCAGCAGACCTCCAGGCTTACACGTCTCAGGAAAGTCGTGTGGTGAGCCAAAAATGACCAATCTCGTGAGCCAATGTTAGTTGTGAGACCTTTGGAGGAACTCGAGAGTTTAGTTGAGGAATGTGATTATACCAGTGTTGAGGGATCTCTTTCAGAGTGACGGAAACCTCCCAGGTTCTCTGTAAGGTCTTGTACTTTTCACAATACCACCAGAGGCACCTGTTCAAATAATTAACAACAAATTAAGAGCATTTTCTTGGCACAAATCATAAAAAATGATACATATCAAAATAATACATACAGTAAACTATACTTGTCTTTTATGGATTTCAAACTCATGATTTCACAATGCTAAATACACTTGCACAGGGACAACATACCTGATGGAGAAGCAACCCAGGCTAAGCCAAGGGTACCACCTGTGAAATCCCTAAATGTGAACACGTAAGCAAGACAGAAGTCATCATGCTTCTTTTGGGAATGTAGGTTCAGGAAGTTGCCATCATCCACATTGGCTTTACAGAATTTGTTTGGTTCTCCTGTCCAGTTGGGACGGCAAGGCTCGTCATTATCAATCTTGAAAGAAAGTAAATCAGGAGTTTAATCCATTTTATAAGAAATGATTAACTCATTGAATTTTGCATCTTTTTTAGAAATAATCTTAAAGTAATAGTATAACCATAACTTCTCAAAAATCATGTCAATGGTATAGGAGCTGTACTAAGCTGGGTAAAAAAAAAAGTTTAAAATAAACAAAATGCATCATCTAGTTATGAAATTTTAAAAAGTTGAAACTAATAACCATCTATTTTCTTTTAAGGGTGGTAGGTATTCCTAATATACATGTACTGACTCCATCAATTTTACTAAAAGGAAAAGTAAAGAAATGCAAACATTTAAGATTTCCCTGGATAAAAGTTATCAAGCAGATTATCTGCTTGTAGCCACCTAAGCACTTTTTCACCCTTCTTATTCTTATTTTTCCTTTCAAGAGCAATCTCACAGTTATGACAAAAAAGCTTTGAAATAAGGAAACAAGTAATTGAAATTACATTGGGGCAAATGGTTTCAGTCATCCACTCCAAGCATGTCTTCAAGCATAGTCAAGCACCGCTGTAAAAACACTTTCTACACTCCTTACCTTGATTCTCTGCACTTCAAATCGTATGTTCCTGTGCTTATATTTTCCTTCAAATTTTACATTGCCGTAGATATTATTGATGGCTTTGATATGTTGTGAGATCATTGCTGTAATCTCGTCCCGTGTCCTGATGGGATCATTCTCCTCCTGAAAAAACATTGTACCAAGAAGTTATATAATGTACACGGGAAAAAAAATAATACTCTATATTACTTAAAAGACCTTCTCATATATGTTCTTTAGATAATTTCTTAGAAGCCATCATTGAACCCTGAGTTCAATTTCATCCAAAACATATCTTCAAAAGGAAATACCCATGCCATCTCAAGTGGTCCACTGCTTCCCCGTAAATATTCCAAGCCAAAGGAGGAAATACTCTACCTGTTTGTATATATGGTGCCATAACATGGGATCTGTTTGGATTGAGAGAGAGCATGTCCCTTTGTTGTCTTCTCCAACACCCATTCCAACTGCTCTCTTCGTTCGAGCTGTTTGCTTGCGCACTGTACTTATTATGGTAATCGTCCAAGATGGTTTCATAGAAATCTGAAACTCCATCTTCTTCTCACTTGTTTTGTAATTATCAATGAGAGTCTAGCCATTTTTGTACTTATACTGACTAAGCAGATGAGCCGGAGTTTTGTTGGTACTGTTTACTAGCCTCCTCCTTTTCCTCTACAGGATCTGCAGAGTTTTGAACACGGTCCATCCATGCTGCTACGTCATCTGTTATACCACATCCCGAGGAATGCCCAGAACGCACCCGGGCATATGGGTCCCCACATGGTTGTCGTGGTATATGAGGGAGTGGAAGCCCGAGGATGTTGCATTGTGGCGAGGGAAATACTTGTTTGCTCGCTCTACATAGTATACACACCATCCCGCCCACTATCTATGACTCCTTCAAACACTCCTCCTCTAACGCTTCCCCAGACCTTTGATCCGGGATCAGCTAAAAAAGCAAAAATACATTAGAAAGGGACTGATACCTCTTTGGAGCGTTAAACAACATTATCACATAACAAAACAAATTCAAACCAAATCAATCCAATCTTAATAATGAGAAAGAAATAGAAGAAAAAAAATATTACACATTTTTCAAATTGAAAATTGTACAAGAACACCTAAATGTCTTCCAAATAAAATGCATCCACACTAACGAACCTTCAACTGTCCCTTCATAAAGGTGGTTAAAATCCAGCCCTTCTAATCTGGGTGGA